AGACATTTTTTAAAATTATCTATTTGAGTAAAAATAAACTTTTCGTATAAATTTTTTTTGATATTTTCTGTCCAATAAACGTGACAAAAACCTGAACAATAAAAAGCGAAAGAGGGGGGGGGAAACTATCGATTTTTTTGTATTTTATTTATTTGAGTAGAAATAAACTTTAAGATACCAAAGTAGTTTTCATATTCTGTCTAATATTCTGTCTAATAAATATTCTGTCTAATATTCTGTCTAATAAATATTCTGTCTAATAAATATTCTGTCTAATAAAAGTGTCAAAAGTCTGAAACTTTATAAGAGTTAAATGAAGAAAAAAATTAATGTGAAAATCACTAAAGCTGGAACGAAATAAACTTGTTCAATATGCAGATAGAATAGAAGAAAAGTCCGTTTTATGAAAACGTTTAAGACTTGGCCTCATTTTCCCAAGACATGGGACTTTTTTTCTGTAGGTCTTTAATTCCTGTGATCTTATTTCCTGAGACTTTATTGGCAGCCCCCATACTGTTTTATGAAAAAAAGTCCCAGGAATCTAAAACTCAGGACTTTATTTCCAGTGACATTTTGTCCTGGGACTTTAGAAAATTGAGACTTTTTTTAACCAAAGTTTTTTCCAGGTTTTTTCAGAAACTTTTTTTCTGTGACTTTCTTACATAGATTTAAAATGTATACTCAATGAGTTTATACCATATAATCATGCAAATTCCCATATTTATTTTGTATTAATTAAAATTTGTTTAATAGTAATTTATTAATTAATAATTATTGTCATATCATGTTCTAAAATTAATTAATTTTATTCGAAAATCTGGAAAGATGGAGTACACACTATACTGTACAAATCTTATGATGGAGTACACGCTGTACTGTAAAAATATTTAGATGGAGTACACGCTGTACTGTACAAATCTCAAGATGAAGTACATGCTGTACTGTACAAATATCAAGATTAAGTACACGCTGTACTGTACAAATCTAAAGATGGAATACATACTGTACTGTACAAATCTCAAGATGGAGTACACGCTGTACTGTACAAATCTCAAGATAAAGTACACGCTGTAGTGTACAAATCTCAAGATAAATACATCTTTAGAATCATGTAGATTTTTTAGGGAAATTTATTTAAATTAAACAAGATTTTTTTTGATTTTTTTATTGTATTTTTCTATCTTTGATTCTATAAATACATTGTTAATATGGTATTTGGTATTTATCTATCATTGATTCTATAAATACATT